AAAACATTTGAAGAAAGATAATGATAGGTTGATATTAATGAAGATACTTGTGGAAGATCTTAATAAACTTCAAACTGAAGGTATCACAATTCCTTGTCTTTCCAGTAGAATTTATTTCGTTTTCTCTACTTTGTGTGGTGATAATTTAGCCTCCAACGAAGTTGGAGGTTTTCAGCAGAGTTTTAGTTCAGGAAGCTTTTGCCGTCATTGTTTCGTTACTTATGAACAAAGGCATATCCCATTAACTGATATATCATTTGTACCACGAACTCGTTTAAAACACGACATGATTGTCAATAAAGTTATCGCCAATAATGATGGTCAAATTATTCAAGGTGTTAAAAGTGAAAGTTGGTTTAAAGATCTTATTGGCTTTCATGCTACCGAATCACTTCCACCAGATCTGATGCATGATATCGCTGAAGGTAATACTATTAGTAGGACAGTATTTCCACATACAAAAAGATTTTCTTTTTTTAATTGAGGTATGTGCCCGCTCATCATAAGTGCTTTATTAAAAGAAACTATTCAGCAACGTCTTTTGACTTATGCAGAAATTGAACAACGCACATCATGTTTCAACTACGGATTCTATGATTCATCAAATAAACCACCACCTGTGAAAAAACAACAACTAAGTCATTCAAACATTGCTGGCTCTGCTAGTCAAAAATTGTGTTTTTTTCGTTTATTCCCAATTGTCTTTCGCGATATTATCGATGACCTTACTCTACTTCCACTATACACTATTTTACGTGAAATTATAAGCTACATATATGCCAATCCAGTTAGAAAATCATGGTTATCGTACTTAGATGGTTTATGTAAACAATTTCATTCTCTCATGATCGAACATTTACCTGATCATGTAACACCAAAAGTACATTTCGTAACCGAATATCCTCGTTCTATTGAAATTCATGGACTCCCAATATTGAACTCCTGCATACGTTTTGAAGCTAAACATTTATATTTCAAGCAAATTGCTATTCGCACATTTAACTTTAAAAATCCTCTCCTTACTCTCTCGAAACGTCATCAATTACGTCATTGTATGTTGAACAATTCCAATTCATTCTCTTACTCGTCATCGATAACAGTTCGATCGTCTAAATCAATTGAATGGTCTAAACTTTCTATTCCTGTTCGACGTTTATTGATGGACCACGTGAATCAAACTGATTTAATATGTGAATATACTTCGATTTATTATCATCATATTAATATTAGGACTGGATCAATAGTTGTTCATCATCTTGTACATGCTGAAGAAATTCCAGTATTTTGCCAGATTCATCATCTATTAAATATCAAAGAAAAATGTATTATCATTGCCGAAATGTTAAATACAGTTTCGTTTAATGAAAAATTATGGTCATATGAAGTTGAATTTACAGAAACATTGGTTAAAATTGATATAGAACATTGTTTTGATATATATCCTCATTGTCTCGATATTTATGATGTTGAACAAGCACATTATATAAATATATTAACTCGCTTAACTAAACAATAGAAAGAATGTTCTTGTTTTTGATATTTATACGAAAGAAAATAAAGATTTAGTTTAATAAGGACCTTGTCTAGTGCATAATGAAGTTTTCGTTTGTCATCTAGTTATTGTGAAACACGATCTGAAAGGAGTGCTGAAGTATATAGGATAAAAATTTGCACCCACCTTCCGCCCCCTTCCCACCGACCGTGACAGACATTTTAATTAATTAAATAATTAATTAACTAATTACTCTTTAATTAATTAATTGACCATCAAGGACCATGATAGACAGGCTCCAGAGACCATCATAGACCGTGACAGACAAGATCTGGATCCATCACAAACCGTGACAGACAGGGCCCGGAGCCATCAGAGACCGTGACAAGCATTTTAATTAATTAAATGATTAATTAGATAATTACTCTCTGATTAATTATTTGCCCATCACAGACCGTGACAGACAGACCCGAATCCATCACAGATCGTGGCGGACAGATCCACGACCCATCACAGACCATGGTAGACAGGCTCCGAACCCATCACAAACTGTGACAGACGGAACCAGGACCCGCCATAGACCGTGACAGACCTCTTTAACTGACTATCCAAGATCATGTGTAACTAACATCTAATTGGAATATATATGGAGTATTTCTTTGTTGAAGTTCTGTACTGTGACGTAAGCAATGATGAGGAAATATGCTCCAATTCACATTAATAAAGACCAGTTTTTAGAGGATAAATAACAATAGCTGCATCGTGTTTCACATTTTAATCCCGAAGGGATTTCGCTAATAGCTTTTTTTAACTAAAAGATCTATTTTTCTATTTTAGACGAAGACATTGATGGTTCAACATTGATTTTACTTCAACATAATGATATTGCTGAAATATTTCCTCGAATAAAAGATCGTGTAAAATTTGTTGATCAACGTACAAAATTAATTTTAAACTTGAACGAACAAAATGAAAATACTGATGGAACAACAACAACAACTAATATATTTGATTTAACATCATCATCATCATCATCATTTAAACCTGTAGATTCATTACAAGAGAATGATATACTTAGCCCATCTGTTTTAAATGAAAAAAATGAATCAAATAATGATATTCATCAAATAACAGATACTAATCTTTCATCAAGTATCACTTTTTCTGATGATAATGATGATATTTATGCTAAAGCAAAATTACCTTCAGATTATCAAGGTCCTGATTTAACTATCAGAATGCAGCATTACGTTGACGATAATAATATTTCAAAATTTAATCCACATACAGCTTTGCGTGGTGAACTACTATCGCTTCTTTTTGATGATGTAACAAAATCATATCAACTACTGTAAGTCATTATTCCTCATAACATTTTTCATGTTTCCCTCTGTTTGAATTTAGTTATCCAACTAATGACGAATATTTGACTATGGCAAAGTGTTTGGTAAAGAAACTGCATGTTCCTTCAGCATTGTATCATGATGTAGTGGTAAGAAAAAAATTGAAAAATTGACTGAATATTTTCTGTTTTGTTTTTGTAGAAAGATTGGCATGAAAGTATCAAGCAGAAATTTAAACGTGAACGTAAACCTTTACAAATAACTACTAATTTTGTGAAAAGTAAACAAGAAAAATATGGTAATGGTAAAACGAATGGAAGACCGAAAAAAAAAAGTACTATTTTACAAGCTGAACGTCGAATTAATGATATAGTAAGTGATGAAATTATTTTAAATAGTATATCATATAGTTTTTTTAATAGCCAATTATTAGTATAGCTGATCGACAAAATGAAAATATTTTATCTATAGTTGATCAAATGAAATTACAATTACTTAAAGATGATCCTGATCTTGATTTTTTTCGTAATCTTTGGCGACAATCATTTAATATTCGTCGTTTATGTATTCGTGATTTAACTGTAACTGAAATACTTGAACGTTTTCCCGGTTATCGTCTTTCAGAAATGGTAAGTGCTCCCGATAATAGTTTACTAAAAATATTTTTTGAGACAAACTCAAATATGAACAATTAATTTGTTTTGAAAGACAACAGATATTCTTTTCGTAGTTTTTATATGAAAATCTTGAGTAATCTTTCTTCGATTTTCTTTAACAAATACGATACGCACCACCCCTCTATTACTTAAAGAATATTTGAGCGTAAAATTTGCAACAATCAAGATAATTCATTCTAAGCTCACATTAAAATGGCTTGTTCTAATGATCAAGAGTCTTTTTCTGCGAATATTTTTTAAATTTAATCGATTTATACCTCCGAGAAATATTGAAATGTTTTTTATTTGAAAATAGTTTTTGCTTATAGTGCTTCTGAAAAATAGCGTATTTTTCCAAATTTTTCTATTCATTGACATTATCATTGAAAGTAATAAATGTCATACTTTAATTGTAAAAATTGGCTTTTATATATGAATTATTTTTTATGAAACAATGCCACCAGATAATGTATTAAATTGACGTTTCAAACAAATTTTACCCATAGCTTTTATAGATCATCTGCATTCTTAATTGCTTTGTGTTATGTTTTCCTTTTTTTAGATCTTAGCTGAAGTTAAAGAATGTACTGATGTTAATATCGAAGAAAATGTGAACGACTTATTGCCAAAGTTCTTTGATCATCTACCTGATAACAACTGTTTTTTATCTGGTAAGACATTGAGGAAAAAAAGCTAGGAAACTCCAATGAAAAAATTGAATCTATATCAAGTGGAATAAACTTATTTTTCTATGTGTCTCTAACTACGAAACTGATCAGTTTTCATAGTATAATTTTAATATCATGAAATCGAAAAATGTTTTTGTGATAACATCTTCCAAATTGGCCATCAGTTCAACAAATACATATTTTTTATCTAACGGGTGATGCAAAAGTTTCTGGAAAAACGTCAGACTCTGTTGTATTTGAACAGAAAACGATAGGATGCTCGTTTTTTTTTGTTAGATTGAATGTGGTTTCTACTTTCAAAGTACATGTTTCACAGATTTATATTCATACACTGGTACCAAATTTCATTCAGTTCTTATAAACCT